AATAATATGTCACATGGGGTGGGAACATGCTCCTATAATTCATGTTTCCTAGTTTTCCGGGTTGCTCAGTAAAAGTGAGTGACAAAGTTCACGCGCCTCTGAACATGTAGTACCCACACGGGCGACCTCTCGACCATGTGCAGAAAGCCATAGAATGACCTAGGTTGCTGCGCATCAGACTTGCCGGTATGATCGTGCGTTTTTTGCGCAAAACTTGAAACAGTCAGTCTTTAACTACGAATGGTTGTTGCTTTACATTTAAGTTATGGACTCATTACCTTTAATTGCCGCGAAATTTGCGCGAAGGAAAATGAATAATTTCCGGTGACCGGTCGTCATTAAAAATAACCTGTCATATCTGATTCTCAGTTAGCAGTTTTCTGGCAAAACTTTCACGTACCTGTACATGAGGACTAAACTCGAACTTAGAAAATGAAATCAAGATTTTTAAATTGTAAGAAAATGAAATTGAAATTTTTAAATTGTACGTGGACAAGGAACGTCCTTTTAAAAGTTTCAGCTTTCGAGCTTTTCTGAATGCCTTAGCAATTTTCCTACCAAAAATTTCACTTGCCTATACATGAGAATCAAGCATTTTCAGGATCTGGACTTGAAATCTTTAATTTGTACGTGCACAAGGGCATTCCTTTAAAATTTCAGTTTTTTATCTTTTCTTCTCGAGTTAGCAGTCTTCCAGCCAGAACTTTCATGTCTCCGTACGTGAGGGCTAAACGTGCTTCCGAAAATTACCGCCACGTTCCTAGGGTCAGGGAACCCACTGGCATAATCAATGTCAAAGCTTACTTGGTTGTCGAGTTGAAATATCCCGGCAAACACTTATACACGCCCACCTACATCACGGGTCGTTGCAGTGTGAGTTTTCATAATTGGATGCATGTGCATAAGCTCATTAAAAAGAGTATGGCTTCACCAGAATGTTTGTCGGCTGTTATGGAGTTCCCAGTTGGAGCAGTCGTGAAAAGATTAATGAGCTTGTTCATAGCGCAAAAGTAGTGAGTTTCAATGAAATGACAGTTGATCAAAATAGCAAATGATTGAAGCGGCTACTGCTGACATTAATTTCAATCCGGTGTTTAAGCAGGAACAGAAGTTATTGTTCGCCAATCTGTTTAAAATAAAGAGCGGTCTTTCCAGATGGGTTTTGCAATCTTGCCGAAATTCTTCGAGCGGATATATTAGCAAATCGAAATGTGCATTTTATATTCGTCCCTGGTCCCGATGATCCGTCATTTAATTCGATACTGCCACGGTCAGAGCTCAGTAATTTTCATTTCAAATAACGATTGAATTCCAGTAATTTTAGGAGTGCATTTAGATGGTTAATTATTTCCAGAGTTTTTGTTCCAATTTGCTTTTTTTTCCAGGCCTCCGCTGCCATATTCGCTGTTCGAATTGATGAAAAACGTGCCAAATTGTTCATTCGCATCAAATCCATGCCGAATACAGTATGCCAGTCAGGAAATCGTTGTATTTCGCCAGGACTTGGTAGAGAAAATGTGCAGAAACAGTATCCATATGCCGTCATCCACTGCTGATATTTCTGAGCATGTAAGCCTGTCAATCTTTTATGTATTATTTGCTTATTTCTTTATATATCAAGACAGCCAATATAACCCAGGCCTAGTACGCAGTCTAGTATTAACGATATTGTAGGCTTGGTCTCAAACGTTGAGCATGCCCGTAGGCCTTCGATCCTGTGCTGTCTAATTCATCTGATGCAAACTGCCTGCCCACTGTATTTTGCGCCATCGCTTCGGAAGCGTTTGAGTGGACACTTCTCTCTCAATTGTCACTTACTAGTAGGCAACGTTCTCCTGGTATCAGCAAGGCGAACAGAATGTCCTTACCAACGGGTTTTGTTTTTTTCATGTGATATAATGACATCCTGCACTTCGTTCATTTGACTGAGAATCTGACTGCTTGTATGGTCAGGAAAATTTTCAAAGCATTCTTTTCACAAGAGAAGAGAAGGATGCTCGTATCTGTTTGTGACCATATAGGCGATCAGATTTGCTCTCCAGTTGAGGCTTAGCCACAGCCAGTGTTCGCAAATCT